CTCAGTCTGCCATCTTTCATCCATCCATCCATCCAACACAAGGCCGCGCGAGGAGGCGCAGCTGGCGGAGCTTGCAGAGCGAGCTGTTGACGAAACGTCGCAACATCTGTCTATGAAACGAGCACCCGCTCGTTTCCACGAAACGATCTGTCGATGAAACATTGCAGTGTCGACGAAACGATTTGTCCATGAAACGTCGTTCGACGAATTGATTGCCACCGCACTCTGAGCACCTATGCATTAGACCATAACAACGTAAAAAAGAAACATGAATAAACAACGGCCAAGGGGAGCACAGCGTCACGCACGAAGCCCGAGAAGCCCGGGCAATTGGCGCCTCGGAGTCGCGTCCAGCCGGCGCGCCGGCAACCCGGCCGTGGCCGTGGGGCAGGCGCCGCGACGTTGCGGCCACTGCGCGCCTCCGTCAGCGAAGGCACACGGCACACGGCGAATTCTGCGAATCCCGATGAGCCAGTAGATTTATTGGAGTAAGACACATGGCAGCGTCTCACAGGCGTCCATTCTAGATGCCACCTGTCTCTATGCGACGCTCTAATTGGCCCACTGAGTCGTAGCTTCCACAGTTTGGTAAGTGTGCCCATAGGCAACCAGCAATGCAGCTTGGAAGTTGGCACGACACGTTGCGCCATCTAGCGACTGAAAAATAAAACAACTTGGATAGTCCAGGACGGCCTGGGTCGCGAGGACTGTGGGCGGGCGCATTTAGAAACCACGTGTGAACGTGGCACTTTAGATCGGCGTGAGCCTTTTTGGAACTGTTTTTTCATAAAATTAAGTCTCAACTTCACGTCTCTATGACCTTTCCGGGTTCCTGTGACATCTCCCCTAAGCCTAGAGTTTTCCCCAAAAATAAACGCCGCTACTGCTGCGTGAAAGACTGCCACGGTCGTGCAGGTGACCCAAGCGTGAGACTTTACCGCTTCCCTTTAAGACCTTGGGAAGCGACACGGCGACAAAGCGTATTACTGGAGTGCGATGCATCAAGTAAGTGAATTTTACATTAATTGTTGAAGTGAACGAAAATAGATGTGCAGGCTTGGAAAGTGGTCTGACAGACTCCTTTTGCAAAATAACGTATTTATACTAGTTTTTTTTACGAGTCTCTGAGACAACCATTTAGAGAAATACAGTAGGAAAAATTGGGCCGATTGTTGCTTCGCTTTGACGTCGAGAATCAGGCGATCAGGTCTTCAAGCGAGATGCCCTTCGACCTGTTCCCGGCACTCGTAGTTGTAGGCGTGCATTTGGTTGCGACCGCGTGCGCCGTTCGGCACGTGCGGTTGCAACCAAAACCTTTTAAGCATGCAAGTTTTTAAATAGTGGATTTTCGTAGAACAAATTTTTGTTTGTTTCGGCTACCAAATTTAATGCTGAGTCTGGTAACAAATGTGACGGCGTGCGGAAAACAGGATGCTCACTTTTTTTCTGGGAAAAGCGCTCATGCGAAGCGTAAATATCCTTCTCATATCCTGTCGCCAGACTTGTGCACTGTTCTCTAGCACGTAGAGTTTGGTTCTAATTACCCACATTTTATTCTAGTGTCGTGGGGGCGCCGGGAGAAGAAGAGGACGGTCGAGCGAGGCGCGAGCGGGGGCCAGCCGGCCAGGAAAGAGGAAGAGCGTGCTGCACGAGGCTGGGGCCGGGCAGGAACGATAGAGCCGTTCTGGCTGGTCCGGCTCATGTCGGTCCCCGGAGCGTTCCACGAGCGAGCTTCGGATCAGGACCGGCGGAAACGGCGAGCCTGGCCTTGTCGGCCTAGTCCATGACGGTCCAGGAGTGGTTCTGCAGCGAAACTCTGTGATAGCCCGGAACAGCTAGCGTACGCAGTGCGTGGGAAGGACGATCCGCAGGCGTGGACACGGACTCCGACTGCCAGCTATGAACGACGGGCGACAACGAGGGTCGGCGGGTCCGGACTGCCGGCTCTCGAAGACGGGCAACCGGGAAGTACAGTAAACCTATTCGCTGCCTTCTCGTTGCGTTGTGTCACTTCCTGGGAGACGAGCGAATCACAGACCGATCGGGCGGCGATTATTATAGAGCGACGCCGCAAGCGCGCGAAGACAGTTCAAACAGGTGTCCAAATGACAGCTTCAGATTATGCTCTCAACACTTGGACCTATCAAGGCTCCCGATGGTCTTAAAAAACCACATAAAATAAAAAGGGACATGGCGCGCACGTGCACACGGGGACTGCTGAAATCGGGTTCGCCGCCGCTCGCCACGGCCCGACAGGCAGACTAGCCACTGGCCGACCCCTCCGCTTGCGGCGCCGAATGCAGCACTCTCGTGGCGCCGCCTGGCCATTGCCGGCTGGCTGTCCTGCACTTGCGCCATCTTGCCCCAAACAACACTTAAAAGCATGATATCGCACAATGTGAAAGACCTCACTCGAAGCTTCGATCGATCATGACACCGCCTTTGTCGCACTTCCTGAGTGATGACTCATTGCGAAAGGTACGTTGAGGTGCGCGGAGAAATGAAATTCCGGGTGCTGATGAGGATCATGCGAGTCATTTAATTTTATTGCAGCTGTGCGAACGTTATAGTTGACGCAATCATAAAATTATGTGGCCACTGACACCAACTTGACAACAGGAACCGAAATACACACGAACCTTTCTATGCCACAGAGAGAGGAGCGCTAGCCGTTTGGAGCGCTTCCCCAACTCCGACGTTACCGCGCCGCCTCGAGGCGCCGTCAGTCTGTTGGCGTCTCGCAGTCTGCCGTGAAGCGAAGAGCGCCGAGGAGAGACGAAAGCGACCCCCCCCCCCCCCTTCCCCTTCCCCCCCTTCCTCATACCCCCTCTGCCCTCTACAGCTGGTTGAGACATTGCAGAGGGCGCTGGCAAGGAGGAGCCTGCAAGAACAAGCACCCCCCCCTCCTCCTCCGCCCTCCACAGGAACCGGCGCGTTCACATGGCGAAGGAGCAGGCGAGCGACACCCAAACAAACTCTGAAGTCCCGAACCCCACGCAGTACTTGCGAAGCGAGAGTCTCCTCGCCCACTAGGACAGCCTGGGAGCTCACGTGACCAACCCAGCTAAGAATATACCAGCGCTCACCGCGACTCATCCTGGCCATGGTCCTCAGGCTCATATCACGCAGACTAATGCGATCACCGGACTCATATCCACCCAAAGACTCACGTCTTGATTCAGCCTCATGCTCATGAGCCTCGAAACTCACAATCACACTCAAGAGACCTCAAAACTCACTCATGAGTACTTCACTTAGCGCTCAAGCTCACACTCACACTCAAGAGTTTTAAGAACTAACAATCACACTCACGGTCAAACTCACGTTCATGAGTTCGCAGCGCTCACACTCGCACTCACACTCATTAGTTCTCAGAACTCGCGATCAGACTCACGCTCATCAGTTCTCAGGACTCACGCTCAGACTCACACTCATAAGTTCACGTACCTCACGATCACACTCACACTCACAATGTTTCGAGACTCGCGGCCTCACTCACGGTCACCTCAAATCTGATGGTGAGCGTGAGTGATCGTGAGTGATCGCACTCATGAGTGAGAATGCCGAGGTATGCTTATGACCTTGGCGTAAATGCGGCTAGTTAGCTATGGTGGGATATTACGGTCAGAGGTCGGCATTTTAGGTCGCCCTTACTCACCCTCACCCTCACAGCCACACTCACCTAAACCCCTCACCCTCACAGCTACACTCACCTTCAGCCCCTCACTCAACCTCACCCTCACAGTCACACTCACCTTCAGCCCTTCACTCACCCTCACTGAACCTCACGGCCCTCACTCACTCACCGCCCTCACGCCCCTCACAGCCCTCACGGCCCTCACTCACTCATGGCCCTCACGCCTCACCGCCCTCATCGCCCTCCCCTCACGGCCCTCACGCCACTCACCGCCCTCACGCCACTCACGCCACTCACCGCCCTTGCGGCCCTTACACCCCTCACGCCCCTCACGCACTGATGGCCCTCACGCCACTCAGGCCAGCTTCAGATGGGGCAATTTCGCCCAGAAACTTTACGTCGCAACACCAGCAACACGGGCCGCCCGCGATCACACGCAGCAACCAATTGCTGTGATTTGCCATCGTCATCATAAAATTTTATTTTTCTTGCACTATTTAGACACTATTACGCGTTATAAACGTGTTTTTATTCATTTAAATCTCGTTAAGAATACTAATGCACCTTTCTGAAACGGTTTATTTCCAAAAAACGATCGATTTCAAACCAGAACCAAGTCTTTCGGTGTCATCATCACCGGCACGAGGTATCACGTGAAAATTTTGCGTCCCTGATTGGATGCAGCCGCTTCAAACGTATTCGAATTGCTCCGAGTTGCTTGCTTATTTCGAGCTGGACCCGATCTGAGCAATTCATGTCGATCTAGGGAAAGCTAGAGAACAACCCGCCATTAGCACCAAAATTGCTGAGAAAGATGCTCGATCTGAAGGGGGCCTCACGCACTCACCGCCCTCACGGTCCTCACACACCTCATGCACTCACCGCCCTCACGGCCCTCACGCACTCATGGCCCTCACACCCCTCACGCACTCACCACCCTCACACCACTCACGCACTCATGGCCCTCACGCCACTCACCGCCCTCACGGCCCTCACAGCCCTCACGGCCCTCACTCACCCTCACTCATGAATTTTCCTGGTTCAGAAACTCACTCACCCTAACCTCACCTGTGAAGATGAGGGTGAGTGAGGGCCCTCATGAGTGAGGTTTGCCGAGGTATGATTACGGTACGTGGCCGATTGGAAAGAAGTTACCTTTGCTTCACTGCCCCTCGCCGTGACAAGTTTGGCAGGAACAGGTGATTTAAATATAAAAGTTTTAAACTTTTTTTGATTGCGCTTCGAATGTTAGCCCACTCCTTATTTCCACCCGATTTTACCTCGATTTTAGATGGGCCATTTCTCAGGATATTACGGTAGTCACATCACTACAACCATGACAATAAAGAAATAGAGACAATTATGTGCTTGCTCAATTTATTTAAAACAAATTCAGCTTGGCATTTAGCGCTAAAAAAGCCTCCAGCATAACTGGGAAGGTAGGGGAAGCTGCTTAGGCTGGGGTAGGGTCACAAGTCGTAGTCCGCAACGCTTTGCCTCAGGTATTCTTGGTACAGTCGCTGCTGCAAAGGGACAAAACATTGCAACATTGCTTCATTCGCTACTTGCAGCTTTAACGCCCATTCACACATACACCACAGCATTACCTTGGTGCTATTAGTCCGTGCTAGAAATAGCGCTAACCTTGCTCATGCAGCACTGACTTCCTGATACAGTAAAGAATAATTCAAAAAAATTTCAAAATTTAGCTTGTTTTCAATGTACCTATAAGTCACTTAATTCGAACGGCGTTTTCATGTAATTTATACTTTTTGTTCCTACAGCCCCGTTGAGCGCGCTTCTTACCGAGCACCAATGCACTGCAGACAAGCATCACCTGCAAAGCTCGCTTCTGCGGGTGTTGCTTCTCTGCAGTGCACAGGTGCTCGGTAAGAAGCACACTTAAAGGGACACTGACAGGGTATTTATGCTCGCTGAGGTTTTTAGTTTTACGTGACATATGAGAGCTCAACTACCCAGAACAGAATTTGCGGCTCGAAATTCGGTTTCTTTCCGCCCGAAAACCGCCGATCAAGAACTGACCGGTTCGAGTCTCGCTCACTCTCTTTTTCGCGGTCACGGGCCGTTTTCTAAGGTATCGATGCGACCACCAAATTTAATCAAAGTCGTGGGTCACTGAAGGCACACACTCATTATTAAAAATAGAAAAAAACATGAAACCCATTTTTTGTGGCTTCTAAAAAGCTGTAAATACGTTGATTGAAAAAAAAAAAGTTCCACAGACAACCGGAAGCATTCTGTGCGTTCGTCGTTTCGCATATCGTGGGACTCGCGGGGACGGCGATGGCAGCGGACGACGGGCGTGGGACCTCTATTTCAGAACTGTCGTTCGCGGTACCGGCGAATTCTGTCTACCGTTAAAAGAGAAATTTGGGAGTGATCAAAAGAATCGGTATTCATCCCGTACGACACGCCCGGCCACCAAGCCGATTTGCACGAAGACGTCGCCGAGCCGTCGATCCCTTCTCGTGGCTGAAGACATCGCTCGCGCAAACGTCAAGCACGACGTGTCTACTTCGAGTTCAATATGCACGCGTACGATTTCTTTACTAGGTGCGAATGTCCCCAAAGCGTGGTGCTTCCCGACTTCGACCCAGGAGTGCTTTTGCTAGAGAAAAATCGACAACAAACTTTCCAACTTAGTTTACCGGCTGAATTGTTACTAAGGAAAGAGATCCTCAAGAGAAGCGATGCGCCAGTAGCTCAGTGGGAAAGACGTCCGGTTTACACGCGGTAGGACCGGGTTCGATCCCCCGTGGAACTTAATTTTTTTTTCTTCAAACATTTTTTGATGTTTACATATATATATATTTTTTTACGATCACCACTGAAGAAACAAACAAAAAAATAACAAAATAATGTTGTGGACGATACTTCGCTGATTTAAATGGTACGGGATTTCCGTTTTGACACCTGCGAGCTCAATGTAATCACTTTCCACAAAATGCAAGGAGCATTTAAATCAGGTAACGTCCGCTTTCCGAGGTGCCCGTATATGTTCTACAGGAATTGCAGCCAGCCGTTGGTCCCGATCCCGTTGATCTTTCGGAAACTCTGTCGCACAATGCCACTTTTTTTCGGATTCAGGAAATGTGAGCCAGCTCTTCACGCAACATCTTGGGTGTATTCTTTTCGGAGCCGATCATGGAAATTCACCACGGGCACTTACTACTCATGTCCAACTCCTCAATGTACAAAACAACTCATCTTGGAGTACAGAACAACGAGCGGAACAAAGATAACTGCAAAAAAATCGCACGGCGAGCAGTTCCCGCACGCCCCATCGCACGCCGCATGTCCTGTCGTCTGCTACCGGAGAGGAGAAAAAAAAAAAAAAAAAACGCACGGTAGGGTGTAGCCACGTGACTTCCGCCACTCACTCTCTTCTCTCCACTTCTCCGACCTCCGTCGGGTTTCGGTTTCGAGGAGTTGCGTCTTTTGGCTTTATTAAAAAAATACGCTACTCTGTTGCAAAATATTAATTGGGTAGTCCTCCGACACCATAATGAAGCGCCTGGCAAAAAATAAAATTTTTTTTTGGGGGGGTGTCAGTGTCCCTTTAACGGGGCTTATAGTTTACGATGGACAACTTTTTTGCTGGATGAACAAACTTAATTCTCTTTTGAGGGGTCATGTGCTGTCTAAAGAGTCCATGATAGAAAACTTTTGAGGGATGAATAAACATATCTCACACATTTCACCAATGTTTCATGTGTGGCATACCTGCTATGATAGTAGGCCTGTGTAGAAAAAGTCATCAAAAAGTATCTAGATGAATTTCTGACAATTTAAACGAAATTCGTGGCTTCCTCGAGTTTGATTTAATGAGTCTACTGTATATTAGCAATAAAAAGCTGATACAGCACTCCATTAGGCTGAGTAAAGTATGCTCGAGTCAGTGCTCTTCCCAGTGTCGACTTAGTGCTGCTAAATCAATCATCGCGACTGCTTAACCAATGCAAGGTTCGGAGGTTGAATCGAGAAGCCATGTGGACATAATATGCCCGCCTGCGTTTCCAAAGCCATTGGAGTCCATAGGAAAATCTGGGAATCGCAAAAAGAGGGTGCCGTACCATTTATCATAATATCAGATACTACATTCTCGATAAAGAAAGTTTGTGCAACTATTCTCCAGCAGTGTGTGCAGCTGGCCGAAATCGGTGACTTACAGAAGAAGCCCAGCAAATGACAAGGCAGAGAAAACATTCTCGTGGAAACATGCTGCCGAGACTGGGCAACGTGTTTCACGTGCCTAGAATTCGATGCTGATCACCACTCTTAGCAATATGCAATTATTCCCAAGCTTCATTGTTCACCGAGGACAGTTTCTTCGACCGCCATGTTTTGCTAGCTGTGCTTTCTGGTAATATAGATGCAGTGGCCTCAAAGATAACCCCTGCACAAACCATCTAATTGTTATTTGTGCAAATCTGGCGAGAAAGTTAGCGATCATGTAAATAAAAAAAAAAATAAACTCACAGTTGTTTTTATGCTCAATATTTAACTAGTCAAATGGCTGATCACCCTGGTCTTACCTTTTTTGGCTTGACAAAATTGATAAGGTAGCTGTGCGTCTCTTGGAGAGCGCGTTTTTGCTTTTTCGTCAGCGTTGGCTTGAACCTGCAAGAACAGAATGCCACAGCAATGGATGCCTAACCTTTCCAAGGCTGATTTAACAAAACTGAAATTTCTACCGGAATACTACCGAAAATAACAATAATAATGTCTCCCAAGAGTGCCAAGAAAATCTTGCAAAGTCCTTTTCAATGAAGTCACCACAATGTCACACGAAACAGCTACGACTGCTCCCTCACCAAAACAATGAGTTAGGGCTCGGATGCCACACACAGCTAGAGTTTCTGCGACACCCCGTGCAGCATTTTACCCCCTTCAGCTAGCACTAGACAGGGCCAGCTTATATTGCCCCTGATTGTATCCTAACTAGTATACAACCAGTTAAATATAATTAAACACCCTGCCTTAGTCTTTTTTCATGCAACAGTCACTGGAAGAGAAACTGAATGGTTACCTCGAGTGCAACTTGGCTATAAGCAGGAAGACGGCAGAGATGGAGAACAGCACGAGGACAAAGGCAAATCGAATGGACTCTGGCAGGATACCAGACACCAGTTCGAGGGGAAGCTGTAGGGAAAATAAACAAAACAGACCTCTTAAACCAACTTTTAGTGCACAATACTTGTCCGGATCAAAATGGACAGGGGTGGGGATTGAAACCATGATCCCTGGGTTCCGCAATGCAATCTTTTATACCACGTGCTTCGAGCTAAGACGCCCGACCACTGATCCCCCTCCCTCTTCCATATGTTGAAGGAACATGGGTATGTGGGAGTTTTCAGTCTCTAGGGGGTCAAGCGACGCATTAGGACCCTTCTCGAGTAAAGTCTCGCAACAAAGGTAGACCAAACCAACGCTACAAGATTACTTTGGTTGTGAGACCTTCTTTGGACACCGTACAATGAAGCACATCAAAAACCAAATCGTCCGCCATCTGTAAATTTTAAACATGTGCCATATTTAATCGGCCCTATGCTTAAAATACGGCGAAATGTGTAACACGTTTACCGGGTGGCAGCTCAGCGAATCTACTATAAATGCGTCACGCGTGCGGAGACACTTCCCTCTGCAACTTTATCGGGCGAGGATTTCAAACGTGTTTTGATACCCCTAGCAATACACAAGAGACACATTATTAGCAAAATGGGGAATTTTTTTTCAAACATGACAATGCAAAGAACGGCTTTATTTATACATTTTGAAAATAGTTGGCCATTTGAGAGCACAAAGAGGGGTAGCCGACGATGTCGATAACGTCGCTAAATATGGAGCGTGTGCCCCTCGTGACGTGCGAAGGAGACCACCTTCGGAGCGGAGATCCACGACCGAGCTGATCTGATAACATTGACCTGAACCATAGACTATACCAGTGACGTCAACATGTTAACACCCGACGTTTTAAAAACTTAACCCGACGAAACCGACTCTACCGTGTACGCGTTTGGCCAGCCGACAGATGGACCAAATACACGGCTGTACGGCATCTTGGAGACATTAGCACCGGAATAGACCTGCACGTTCTCGGAACCCGGGTTGTGCACTCACGGTGAAGAGAAGCAGGAGGTCGGCGGTGTTGGCTCCCAGCAGGGAGTAGAGGCGTGCCTCCGAGGTGCTCCTCAGGGCCAGGTTCAGCATCAGCAGCAGCGGCACCACCAGGCCGAAGAGGCCAAGGCACAGACCCCGCCCGCCCGTGCTGAAGTTCTCCGAGCGGCTCTGGCTGCACACGAAACGGGAACAGGAACGGGAAATCAAAGTTTGAAATGCTTTATTCTGACACCAGACAAAAAACACGGTTTCCTCGGGGGGCCCGTCACAAAAAGGCCCCTGGCATCAAACACTGGGCGAAGTGACATTGAGTACTACCATACTTTACGGTCCGTTTGTGTAACAAATCTACAAAATCACTTGGGTCCTTGAATGGAAAAGATGTCCGTTTACTCAAAGCAATCGAGGAATCTGCAATTCACTAAGCTTTCACCAGGAAGTGAACCAAGTGTTCTTCAAGGTATCGCCGCAGTAGCATCCAAACAGTGCTAACATTTTCTTTCGGAAAGACAACCAAATATGTAAACAAAGAAAATACTCTCCACAACCCCGCAAAGAATATAATGTGTGAAACATGGTGAACTTACCCGAGATCGGTGTTTTCTAAATGGCAACACAAACAGAGAAGCCTTGAACATAGCTCTGTTTGAGACTTCATTGCATTTGTGACGACCTTAGAAAAATACACGGGTAAATTCACCGTGTTTAACCTGCACCAGCTAGCTCGCACACTCTTGTTTGATTCACTACAACGCGTTAGTATTTTTTTTTTTTTCTCAATGAGAGAGGGATCCCACCAGGGGGCCATGCAGTTCACACGCACCTTGCATGAGCTCCCGCTTTTTCGACCGTTCATGGCTGCCCAAGTGCACTTATCACTTAATGAAACTGAGATTGAAGTTACAGTATTAGGGAACAAGAAAGGCAATGATAGTAGTAATACTTACTTGTCGGCACTAATCCTCTGCTGCGCTTCATTGGCAAGTAGTTCACAGTCATGTTCCAGTGTGTTGAGAGTGTTCTGCACCGTCTGGCTAATTGTCTTCTCAATGTCTTTGCACACCTCCTCGATCTGGTTCATGCAGCGTACAGCCTGCAACGTAAGGTACAGGGCCAAATGGTCATGCTGCCTGCTACTGTAGAACAAGACCATGGGGCGGTTTCACAAAATGCCCTTTCCCTTCCGGTAAGCCAGATTCCGTCACGTCGACGAACGGCGTCCTTCCCTTTTGCCACTTGTTTACGTGCAGACAATTAGTTACTGGCGACATTTTTGGTATTGGTGAAACGCCAAAGTATAGCGAGTGGCTCCATCGACGACGGAACTTGGTAAGTATGATTGGGAACGTATTTGGGATCATAAATCCAAGCTTATTCCGATCAATTTTCTTTCGGTGTTGCCACGCAGCATCTGCAAGGGCCGGTTTGGCCGCCGAACGGGCCGACTTCTTGATCGCCGGCTCGTCCTAAGTCCGAATAAAGACCGGTAGGTATAAAAATTGACTGCCAGACTATGCTCCTTCGATGCTGTCGACTACTCTAGCAGAGAGTTGATCACGACGCAAAAGAACTCGACCGAGCTGGAAAAAAGACGTATGGCAAAAGCTCGCCGACACGACGACCGGCAACAGTTTCAGCCGCAAGTATGTCACGTGAAACCGCTTTAAGGTCCCTTGACAGGGATAGGAAGGCAGGAAAATCCTTCGGTTATCCCACCAGTGGGGCGTGTTTTCTATCTTCGATAATGCTCTGGCGCCTTGCGAGCCTCGAGCATGCTCGTGACCAAAGCACAATGGAAGACAACGAGCGCCTGCTGGAGTAGGGGATCCGAAAAAGACGCCTCATCGTTCTCGTCCCGATTGCGAATGTAGTACACGTGGGTCGCTGCCAACTTTAGACGTGCTTCCATCTCCCTCTCAATCGGAGGACTAGACGTAAAGCTTCGGAGTCACTGCGATAACAGTGAGGCAAGTCTGAAGGAATACCGAATTCCATAAGACAAAATTTATCTTCAACTGCCTAAACAGGACAAATACAACACAAAATAATATTCTATTAAGAAAAAAAAAAAAAAAAAAAAATATATATATATATATATATTTACGTAGCGACTTGCTAGAACGATTATGAAAGATAATTCTTTTTTTGGGGATTGACCTTACAAAATAAAAAAAAAAGATGTTTCAGAATCGCTTTTAAAAAGCCAGTCTCCCAACATACAGTCTTGAACAATAAGGAAGACACATCCAACATGGCAGTTTCAGGAGACTGTGCATGATTCAATTTTGATCAATTAATATATTTGTTCTACACCTTCTCTTAAAATAAACTGCCTCTGGGCAACATACACTTAGCTTTGCTGTATATACCGCCTCAGCAAATGACTGTCTAATATTGTGGGAGACTACGTATTGCACTCATTTCATTGGGATTTTCTTTTCTAAAAAAATGTTTCTTTTTTATACATGCTTCATTTAAACGTTAAAAAGATTATTCTTGGAAGTTCAGTGTCCCTTCAACTCACTCCCTACACAAAAACAGTTTCACCATAGTAGCCTATTTTCATACTGGCATCGGGGAACAAGCTGTTATTTACGAAACAGGCAGTCTCAATAAAATAATGTAACACTATTTTCAGAAATTAGGACCATAAACAAGCTCTATATATATATATATATAAAGTCAGAGATCCGTACTTGCGGAATTGCTATGCTAGGAGTTTATTGCATGTATTTCGACAGTTTCGCCGAGAGGCTCGGCTTCGTTAGGAAGCCGAGCCTCTCAGCGAAACTGTCAGCGAAACTGGGATCCGCACATTGCTTCTTTTAATTTTTTTTTATATATATATATATATATATATATATATATATATATATATATATATATATATATATATATATATATATATATATATATATATATATACTGTATATAAAAGAATGAAAAGAAACAATGTGCGGATCCCAAAAGCTAGAAGTCGACAACAAACACCTACGCAAGCCCCGGGATTCTGATCTGCACGATCTGCGTCTTCGACTGGTGTCTTTAGAGTTCCATTCCGTACACGCGTCGAAAGCGGTCCCCAAGTGGCAACAAACGACATCGCAAAAGTTAAAGTGTCACGCCGTTGGATGTCGAGATCCTAGCGGTGGGATGCAAAAGTTGTGGAAAGGAGCAGGACAGAATGTGAGTGTCACCGTGGTCGCGGCTTCCCAACTCATAGCTGGAGTGCGACTTGCAACAGGACAGGCGCCTGCCATCCACTACCGCTGCTGTGATGCGACGCTACAACGGGAGCACTTTTTAGGACACAATAAAGACACCGGTCAGAGATGCGTTACAAGCACCGTGGCGATACTATCTGCAAGCCCTTGAGCTGGTCAACTTGCTGGGCACTTATATTACCCTGGTGGGACGTCGAGACCAATACCTCTTCAATAAAATAATTAAGGCAACAACGCGGCCAGGAAGAAAGACAAACGACTGACCTTGCTTGCATTCGGAATGTAGATGGTGGGCATGTCGAAGCCGCAACGATTCAGTCCGGGCCTCTTGCACAGCTCTTGGACAATCTGCATCATCACTTTCTGCAAAGGAGGACGAGAGAAGTGCTCGACTTGAAACATTGTCAGGGCTGTAGGGCCTTCCATTTCCTCTACTACTATTACTTGCAAGTGTTTCGTAGGCACAGGCAAGCACATATAGAATGCTTAAATTACAAATCCACCAATTTTTTTACGCAAATTGTTTTACAGATCTCACAAAATATCTGAAGTCATTAAAGGGATACTGAACCGAAATTTGGATTTCGCAAAGTAAGGCTGCAGAAGTGTTGAACGGGACGCTATGAACTCCAAAACATCACTCGTACATCGATATCTCAAACGGATGGCCGTACTTTTGGAAAAGAAGGGCGCGATCAAGCGAGTTCTTTGACGTAACTGTCCTCCGGGAGAATGTGAGAACGAGGAGAAGTGGCCTCGCTTCGGTTCTCCAGCTTGACGGGATGTAGCGAGGAGAAGAGAGAATGGGAATCGTGACGTGCCTTGTCGCGTCGGCCTCGTCGGCCGGGTTCATTCGCCGCACTTCTTTTCCAAAAAATGCGGGGATCCGTTAGATATATCGCCGTATGAATTATATTTCTTGGTTTTGCAGCTTCCCGCCTATCCGCCCGGCCTTGTTTTGTGAACTCGAATTTTCGGTTCAGTATCCCTTTAAGAATGACAATACAGCATACAACGTTGCTCTATGGCTGCATGCCCAAGGTCTGGACAGATTTTTTTCAAAACAGCCACCAAGAGACGGTGATAAGAGAAGCAGGCACGTAGCCAGGATTTTGTTTTGGCGGGGGGGGGGGAGGGAGGAGGGGGGGCGTCCACAACAAAATTCTGTATGAGGGGGGAGAGGAGGTCCCAGCAAAATGGAAGGTTTCGGGGGGGGGGGGGGGGGGGGGGGAGGGGGGGCCGGGTGCTACGTGCCCGAAGTGAAGAGTTCAGGGGAGGCTTCTCCTACCTCTTTCCACTCTAGCAGAGTGGGCAGTGTGTGCACTCCTCTCCAGCAGTTACTCTGCTAACAAGAAAAGAGGTGGGAGGAGCTTCCCCCGAACTGTTCACCTGGTACCAACTATAGTGGCAGTCTCGAACGCTTCAATATTTCCACACTAATGGCGGCGGTAGGAGAAGGTACAAGAGTCAACTTGTTAGAATCAATTCCCTGCTTTCTGCTCTATGCTTTCGAAGACATTCGCTTTTCCTGGCGTGGAAAAGCTGCTGATGCCGCAATTAAAGTGTCGAATTTGGCTCTGGACAAGGTGGGTAGGTGGACTTTTGAAAAGTGTTTATTGAACTCAAGCTTCACGTTTAGAGAATCCGTTAGTATGCACAAGAGTTGAGTCACATCAAGGTAGCTGCACTAGTAGTAGTACAATACATCCAGAAATCCAAGGAGAGGACTTCACCGCACACAGCTGTGCTGAAAACAAGGAAGAACGCCATCTAATTTCTGGTTGAGTTCACGACTTCTGCAGGGCAGGCTTACTGGTCAATCTGGTTCTCTCTACCAGTAAATAAAAAAAGAAGCTGCAAGAACAGTTTTAAGGATTAATGATTTAATAAATGGGTATAACTATGGGCTAGTGTGAAGTAGACTTTGCTCACTGAAATACACACGAGAAAACACACCCAAAAATTGGAAAGTTTCTTCTCAATGGGAAACAAAGAACCTTTATCGCCGGGCTTGACTGATGAGGCAGGGCCGCAGACCCCCATTTGAGAACCACTACCTTAAACCATCAGTTAAGCCAAGCAATAAAATGTTTTTTTTTACTGATGCTGGTTGTTTTACAATCTAAATAGATAAAACCATGTGCATTGAGTGTCTAGGGTTGATTATCTGTTTCAGGGCTGCAAAGTTGTTTACCGTGCATTCAGTTTTCTTCATTTATCCTTTTTTCATTGCAGTTGTTCAATACCAGCTTCCCGGTAGGTGGGGTCCCCCATCACTTCCGCCAATCCAGAAGAAGTCTCCGAAACATCCGTGGTTGAGAACCACCGCCCCGGACAGTCCAGTTAGCCAAGCACCTACCTGCCTGTCAGCCTCGTGTCCCGCCTCGTCGGCCTTGCTCAGGTAGAAACGCATCTTGTCCACGAACTTGGCGTTGAGCGCCTCCACCAGGTTGAGAGTGCGCTTGCACAGTGCTTGACCAATAGGGTCGAAGAACACAAAGATGAGATCTGCCATCTGGCCTGCAACACATAATTTAACTTCAGGACGGGACCCTCACGTCCTGCGACCTAGAGTTCCTGTGTAGGCTCCCTACAGGAGTCGGAGTTCTGTTTTCCACGTGCCGCCGTGCCGCTATTCGCCGAGATCCGATCCCGTGAGGGCCAACTCAAATGCCGTACAGAAAAGTAGACGTCGCGTGCGCCTTGCTGTACGTTCCCCTGCTTTTGAGCGTGCCGCGTGCCTCGAACACGTGGTACCGCTATTCGCCGAATTCAGTCACGTGAGGAGCAAGGAGCAGACTCTGAATGCAGTGCAGGAAAGCCGGTGCTACACAGATGAACGCGCAACTCTGGCTCCCGTAGGGAGTCTATACAGGAACTCTACTGCGACCTAACCGCCCACGCCAACCCACATTTTATTGTCAGTATGGATGCTAACGGCTGTACCCTTTATAACGGGCAGTAGCTGGCGCTACCTATACTCCGCGACAACTTTTCTTGGCAATGCAGTGGAAGGTACAGGCCTGCGTCCCCTCTCCCATTTTGAGTGTGCGCGGGCTCTCCTCCTCTCCCCGGAAATGGGGGTGGAGGAAAGCCTGCGTACACTCAAAATGCGAGAGGGAATGCGTGCCTGTACCTTCCACTGCATTGCCAAGAAAGGTTGTCGCGGAGTATAGCCATGGTATAGTATGGTGCTTGGAACATGCGTACGACTGGTATGAAACATGCCTTCGACTGGTACGTTTAAGGGGGGACACTGGCTAGAGATTTAACTTCTGAACTATCCAAGTGATCAGAATGAAATTTGCAGGGGACATTTAACATCAAATGTATGTGTATTGTACAAGCTTTCAGCTCTCTAGGACAATATTACATTCCTGCATTAGAAGATATGTCACTCTTCATTAAGAAATCTATGATATGCAAATGAAGCTTTAAAGGGACAATAAAGGCAATTGCGGATATTTTTCTGGCGATTGAACTGGGTTCCAGGCACGTCTCAGGCCACGTTGCTTAAATTTCAACCGAAACCGGCACTTGCGTGCCGTGCAAATCAATTAAACAGTCGCGGTAATAATCGTACCGGGATCAACTGGGCCGATGCCCCAAGAGTTGTGGGAGAAGCCAGGAGAAGCGGAGCTCACGTGACCGTAGCGGGGCCAAGAAGCGCGACATCACAACAGACGAATCAGCAATTGGTCGAAACGAGAGATGTGCCCTCAGTCACGTTTTGATTCACGATTTTTAGGAATACTGTTCTAATTTCCGCTTGAATAACCATGAAAAGTATAGATTGGGCCGGAAATCATTACTAAACCGTAAATAAAACAGCACAATTGTTTTTCTCTTTGCTACGCTGGATGCGAAATGGGCAACGAGCAACTATGGGCAAGGAAAATAAAATAAGGAAAGAACACGCCGGAGGCGTTTGGTTGGTACTCTGAAGTATTCTGCAAAATGGTAGTCATGCCAAATTTGTGCGCTGTAGGTGGCTGTTCTAACGGTCGACTGAAGGCCAGTATTCGTTCGGGCAATGCTAGTTTTAACGTGCGGATTGCGGTTCATGTCCTTTGACGAAAAAAAAAGGACGTCAAACTTTTTTGAAAACCAAAAATGGTGCTGTTTATTATTTTCTCCTTCTTGGGGAGCGCCCACCGAAGAGGAGCCGGTTCCCGGAACGACTGCGTCGCTGCCGTTTTCCCCTCGGCATCTGCCCCGCTGCCCGCGTCCCTGTTCTTCGGCAACGCGCCGCTCGTCTCGCCCACGCGAATGTTGCTGACGGCTTCGGAGCCAGCGGGCCGCTCGTTGCCGGCTGGGCGGTCTCCGCCGGGTGATGGCGGAGGCCGCCACACACATACTCCCATTCCGTTGGTGTTAGGTCACTGAACGGAAGCTCGAACTCGCTTGCGAGAGCGGTATTGTCGTCCATGTTGACAGATCCGACGAAACGACCGCGCCACCGCGGTGCTATTACCCACCGCGGTAACCAGAGTCTCGATCTCCTAAATATTTCAGATACCGACTATTCACACTTGACGTCACTCCCTACGTCACCTCTTTTCTCAAAGGCCCAGAAATGAGAATGGAGATAGTTCAGTTTCGGTTTCTTTAGTTTTTTCGTAGGCACAAAAATTCGCGTCACAATTTGTCTACAAAAAATTGGGCAGCATGCTGGTTTCCAAGAAGCCTAAAAACACCATTTAAAAAAATTAAATAAAATCCTCTTCATTGTCCCTTTAAGCACTGCTTGAATATAAAGTGGGAGACGCGGGACTTAGGGCTATCTACTTTTTATAACTCAAATGTAAACAGTTCTGGAAGAGTTATTACTTCAAAATATGAGAAAATATTCCTGTCCACCTTTAAGGCTGCTGTTGCAGTGCTTTGGGCCCCCGTCGCTTTTATCAATATTATGCATACATCAAATTTTTTGCCGTCCCGTCAACTTCGTAATAATGAGGAATATGCAAATATGTGACATTTGTGACGCTCTTAATATTTTTTTTTTTTTTAGTTCAGTGTATTTTTTAAGGGATGCTGAGTTTGTTAAGCTACAGCACTGCAAGATTTCGTGCAAACACCAGTTGTCAACAAGGTGCACGCACCCAGCCAGAGGAGGGTTTCGTTGACGTCGTACGGGTACTTCATGTCCCCGTCCACGAGGCCAGGGGTGTCGATGAAGGTCACCAGGCTGAACTTCTTCTGCCGTGATGTAGAGATCTCCGTCGTCAGGTAGTCCACCACGCCTGCGAGAAGTTGGGAGCGGGGTGGAGTTGAGTCAGCACGCCTATCCTTTACAGCGAGAGGCAGCACAGGCGGCAACGTTCGCACAAACAAGGTGTCTGCCGAAATGATGTTCTAAAATTCCCCGACTTTTCCAAGTTTTCCCCGACTTTTTTGCTAAATTTTTCCGACACTGACTTGTGGTTTCCTATGACAACCAGAAAGCTCCTAAGCAAAACCGTGCCTTGAAACATAGCAATTCAAAAATTATTTATTGAAAAGTAGTTAACAACCCTATTAGCATGTCAACATGCTTATAGCTTTACATGAAAAGACACCTAAAGCCACAACCTTTACACAAACCATCAAAGTCTACCAAAATGGTGTTTTCAAACCCACTGACTTTTCCAGGTTATCCCTGATCATTTTATCATATTTTCCTGACTGACCCTAAAAGGAAAAGGGTTAATCTTCTTTGGTATGCAGCGTGTGCCTTATTTTTCAGTAAAATCCACGAATTCAGTGGATTTTATGATACCAAGAAAGTTTCTAGTTGAAACCATGCCTTAAAGTTTAGTAAATACAAAATGAATTGCTAAGAAATAATTATTACTTAATAATACCCGACACTATTAATCTTCCTAACCGGGCCTTTTGGCAGAGGGAAATACGACATCAACCCTTTGGGCCATGTTTTATGAAACACCGTGTATAGACCAAAAATGCGGAAGCATAATCATGACTGCCGAAAGAAAACTTTGCCCGCAATGCAGGTTCTGCAACACACGCCAGCCTCCGTGCCATTGAATGATGCCACGCATGGCAGGCAAGCAGGCACCAAGCTTCCAAAGGTGGCTTCGGTGGAGCCGGACGTCGATTTCTCTTGGGGATGGCTGTACCGCAGGATGCCAGCCCTTCATTGGGCAGCTTGCCGCCTCAAACAACAAGCCAGCAGCCCAAAGATGGGCTGGCCCCCGTGCGGACTTCCAGTTGGGGGACTCCATGGCCTGACGACGTTGCCCCTCTCGGAGGACAGAAAGGGAAGTGGGAGTGTTGTGCGAATATTCAAATAATGCTTTAGAATAATATGCTATTTGTTTCGAGATGAACTGCGATACTCGTACTGAGGGCGTCGAGCTGTAATCGTAACAGAACCGCTCACTTTTCCTGAACTAGAACAGAACCCGAGCCAACATGTTCTGCACCATTTAGAAGCTAAACCTGAACAGGAGCAAAACAAAAGAAGCGTTCCAAACAGGTTTGCCAAACGGTTCAGGTGCGCATTCACGCTACTATTTCATGCACTGTGCGCCGGAAATTTTGAGAGGCTTAGCGCTGCTGAGCAAGGTGTTTCCACGCAGGCAAATATTTTTTTAAGCATATTTTACAAAGACGAAGTATCTGCTGTTACTGACTGTCGCAAAATCGGCCCGACCCGCTCAAGGTCATCGCATCCTCGTGCACGGCAAAAAGCCACCGCCACGCGACGACCGCATGACGCACCGAGCTGCCATGGGAAAAATGCAGCCTCAAATTCAGGTTGCCTATGGTTGATCGAATGCCATTTCACTAAAACACGTTTTAGAGGAAGGACTCGTTTTATCAAAGCTCGGGTTAGATAAAGCGGAGCCTCAGTTTAGAGAGATGCTCTTTATCGAAAAGGGGCATGCTGCTCAAAAAAAGAACTCCCACACTTTGCACGTGCATCACTGGGGCGCGTGTGAACGCTGCCGCCACCGTAGACTGGATGTGCTACGATATTTGACACATTTTTTAAGCAATCCCTGTTCAGATAACGTGGCACCGTGGGGTATCTACAGAACATTTTTCGATTGATGAGACTCGTTAAATTTCATCTTGTGAGTGGGAAATGCCAGCGCCTTTTGACTACCTTGTGCGGTAAAATATGTTTGATCGACAGTTAAGAGATTTGTAGATTGATACAGCCGAGTGTTTGGGCAGTGCGCAAAACAAACATTCCAGTTGCATTCGTTCCGGCGCACGTGGACTCACCAAAAACAGCTTTTATTTGTCTGTTTTTGTTCCTAAAAATAGTAGGATGCCTTCTCAAAGGTCTTGAGAAGCCGTATTCACCATAAAACGCTAAAAAGCAATAACATGCTGCAATTTAGCTGCCATCAGTGTCCGAAATTGCACCTACACAGGCCTACCACAACTCACTAACGGGAAAACCCACAGCCCAGTGCAGTCGGACAACACTGTCATTCACTTCCGAAACCACGTATGTGTGCTGCAAATCGCCTGGTTGGGGACTGCCGCTAGAAAGGTGTATTATACAGAAAGTTCTCTTTTAGGGGGCTTCGCAGATTGCCTTTAAAAATGCCATGAAAGCTACACTAATGGAATCTGTGCAGGTGAGTTATACAGCTAGGGAGGCAAAATACAAAAAAGGCTAGTTGTCACATTAAGTCGAATAATTAAATGAAAATCTGTTAATAATTTCCTAATTAGTGAGAATAACTATATGGTTCCATTAGAAACTTGCTGAGCATCTTTGAAAGCCACTAAATCAGCAAATTCTACAAAGATATGGAGTGCATGGGAAGCTTGGTAGTATGCTAAAGTTTGTTAGCACTTACTGAAGATCTTTCTAAAATTTATTCACCAAGTGGTTTTCGATAATGCTGAACAAGTTCTTAATTGGGACCATATACTTATTTTCACTAAGTAAAAAGTTGATTAACAAATATTAGATCATTATTCAACTTATTGTGACAATTGGTCTCCTATCTTATGTCTGCCTGAGTGTATAACTCACCCGCACAAACAGGATTAGTGTAGCTTTCACAGCTTTTTTAAGTCAAATCTGTAATTCCTAAAAATAAGCACACCGTGTATAACATGCCCTTCGGTCAGCCATGTCTGAGACTTAGTCGTGAGCTCATGTTGAGAACACAATGCCAACTGTACACTGCCAAGGTTGCACCTTTAAGTGGGCCATAATAATGATAACATAAACACCTATATCTGATCGATGTTCCGCGAAATGCCCCAATGGGAGGGAAGCAGAAATTACACTGCCTCGTCAGCAATGAAAACAAAATATGAAGATGTATAAGAAAGAACAGTCTGAGGAGGCAAAGAATAGTTAGAGAAGTGAATTGCTTGCCTGATGTCACTCTAAAAGATACCCTCTAAAGCACTCTAAAACAGCTGCAGTGCAGCAAAAGACAAGTAAACAACCAACAACCTGCTCACCTTTGATTTTCTGCAGCGGCTTAAAATGGGGGTACAAGTGCAGGGTTGCATTGCCCTACAAAAGAACAATGAAAAAAGACAAAAAAAACATAAACTCTTCTGTGATGATAAAAAAAAAAAAAAGCAACATGGCACAGAAAGCTTACAGGTGACCGGATTACACAAAGAAGTGAGGACCATGATCCGTTTTTCAGACCAGTCGTCACTATTAGGTTGTTGTTAAGCACAGGGAAGTTGTCAGTCGTGTTACACAATAGACCATTTGCTATATCCCCCAAGTGCCCCGGCCCACGCTAAAAGAATCATGGGAATGGTGTTCCTTCAGCCACTTAGTGATCAGTAATTTCGACCCTATTCTTGGTTACACAGATTTTGAGCGTAATTCGAAGTCACCGTGAACAAGCGCCTGATATATCCTAATGACCCGTCATATCGCTTTTAAAATTTCTTCTGAATGTCAGAGTTTTTGATATTGTGCATGGTGTCCACCCTCCAACCTGGATGGGCTGCAGAAATCTTACATTATTATCATGCTGATATTAAGATAGAAACGCTAAAATGCTATAAACATCCCCGCGGACCATAAGCTAAATCCTGGTTTTTGTTGTTGTGAATTATCGGATTTTTAAGCAATTCCTGCTCAAACAACAATCACGAGAATGATAATTTTGTAAGAGATTTCTGCGGCTCAGCCAAGTCGAAAGGTGGATCGCATGCTCACTATCAAAAATGCTGATGTTGACGAGCAGTTTTAAAAGTGATATGACAGGTCCTTGGGGTATATCAGGTGCTTGTTCAGGGTGACCACGAATTACGCTCGAAAACTGTGTAACCATGGAGTTGGTCGAAAATTAGTGATCACTGAGGAGCTGAAGGAACACCGTTCCCATGATTCCTTGAGTGCCGGCCGGGGCGCTTGGGAATACAGCAAATGGCCTATTGTCAGCACATAAATGAGCCTGTGAGGTTCAGCTAAGCAAGTCATTCAACTTCACCAAAATCTAGATGCTCCTTCATGTGACTTCCAATCTTACATTTATTACATGCAATAGAAAACCACTGGTAACTACATGCCACTGCCAAAGAGAGAGAAAGTTCTGAATTCAAAAACAATCAAATGGATGGACGAATGTTAGATAGAAGTCGGCAGCTAAGCTAACTTGGCTACAGGCAAGGTAAGGCAGCACTGGTTTTGATAACTGCATTTTACAATAAATTAATCGCTAAAATACATTATGTAAAAAAAGAAACCATTGAATCCTAAAAGACAGGTGACATGACCATATGTCCAAGCAGCTTAACTACCGTAGAATACTGCGCATCCGCCCATTACCAAATTTGTAAGATCTGAGAAAATATGAACAGTACATTTATATGTAAAGTTGATGACCGGACAAGCGCCCATCCCCCATTTTTTTGCGATTATCTCCAAAGTTCGAGTGGGTGTTTGCCCAGTATTTTACGGTAGATACAATACTACATAAAATGGGGGTTCATGACTACACCCGTTTTCACCTCAAGAAAAAAACAAGTTTTGTGCGTTGCAGTTCTTATGAGATTTGGTTATCAAAAGAAAAAGCAATGTTTTTTGCGTTTGGAACCTGTAAGTTTTGGTAAGACAACACATATATATAACCTAAAATTCACTGGCATATGTCTTAATTATCTGCATAAGGGGGAAATTAGTAATGCTCTGCAACGAGCAGGACTTCATTTACTACGGTTCTTGAAGCAAAAACGGGTATAGAAACATAAGTTGTGAAAAGGATATGACAACGAAGGTATATCTAGGAGAAGATTTAGGACGTGCAGATAATGCTGATTTATAGGTACACTCTCTACAGCCTTGCCTGCTGGATTTATTGGTACTGTTGAGCTATCTCCCCATTTTGAGGTATCTCTTTTGCATAGCACACTCATCTGGCGGAAACCTTAGCTTGTGCCAAGTAACCTCATGTTCTAGATTCTAGAATATTGTGCTAAGCTTCTATTTCTTTTTCACATAATATATTTTATCATGCACATTCAACTTCGAGGAAAAAAAGAACAACAAAGCTTTGGTTTACCGTAAGAGATTCTCGCTTCTTCCCGCTGGTGACGAGAGCAAATCCCTGCGTCTCGATCGCCACTCCAGTCTTCTGGACATGTTCCTCGATGTACCTGCGCCGATCAAAAGCACGTATCCCCAAAATCACTACAAGCAAGCTTTTGCCACTCCAGTGTTTTTTTGGACATCGACGCACAAGCGTCGATCAAAAGCACCTATCTCCAAAACCAAAATCACAATGAGCAACCTTTTGGACGGGCAAACTCCCTCAGCACACGACCGACCAACGACTTGCACGTATCTGTCCAATGTCCACCATAACGCAAAAGCGTACAAACAAAACTAAAGGACGTGGTCATTCGCGCAAACAAAGCGCATAAAAAAAAAAAATGAACACAGCGAAGAAAGGGAACGGACCTCATGCACTGTTGGTTTCTAGGTTGGGACCGTCGTGCGACTCAACGCTACTTTCTGCTGGCGGGTCTGCGCGTACGCGAAACTCGATACGTTTTCGGTTTCTACCACGCAAGCGTCTAGCCACCGGCAAAAAATATTTTAAACACGAAGCTTGAAGAAACAAAACCTCCGTAAATATACGCAAAAGCAGCGTCCGCTCGGAAACATTCCGAGGGAAAAAAAAAGAAAAAGAAAAAAGAGCCTGGCTCCGTAGCAGTTACACAGCTGGCGATGGGGGAGGATTCGCAGACGAGTTTTACTGCAAGACGATGCACTTCGCCGCTAGCGTGTCACACATATTGTGCGAATCTCGAGAATGTTGCGCCAAGAAAGCGCAAATCAGAAAAAGAACCAGGGACATGCTTTTGCGAAGCTTTCTTTTTGGATCGAACGAGGGTTGACAATGGCACTTACCAGACGACGAGGGTCAGCGACTACTAGGATCACTTGCATAGTAACAAAAGCACGGGGAAACGAACACGGAAGGAGGCGGGTTGCGTGGCCCACTGGCCGAGTCAGTGACGGCGGGCGTTGCAGTTGTTGTCACAGCGGCGAAATCACGGAAGTTAAGAGGGAATAAGTCACGTTCCGACGGCGAACCACCCGCACACCGCGAACACGATGACAAACTTCGCGAAATGCCAGGCAAATTCCTCAAAAGTAACGCAACGCACGCAACACGCGCTTCGATGAAGGAGTCGTTCCCTAGGTGTCATCGAGCTGGGGGAAACATGTACCTAGGCAACGTCGTTGCCAGACGAGTTTTTAGCGCGTCGTCTGCTACTACGGATCCAGACCTTCACAAGTTGCGGAATCCCAAAAAGTAGAGTATTAAAAACTATTTATAGTAATTAGATTAAATAGAAGTTGTCGAAATTTATTTCACACCACAATAACGTGGGTGGAGATCCTTTTTAGTATTTAAATTTGTGGGTCCACTGACGCAAAAAAAGCGCCCCCCCCCTCCCCTCCCCTCCCCCCCCCCCCCCCCCCCCCCATATAGAGCCATTCACATAATTCAACCCCAAGCCTAGGTGCCCCTAAACTTCAGTTACTAATCCCAGAATTATGACAATAAAACAGTGGAATCAAGGCGTTTTCTTGAATTCATGGACGGAATAAACGTCTCCATTTATGCTCACGTTTGCGTATGAACGCGTGTTACCTTTATCCGGAGAATTATCATTCCAGGCAGCGTGTCAAAGATTGCGCCAATAATCGGCAATGAAACTAATGCTGAGATGATCGCTCTCACTTGACAATGAATGATGCAGATAGAGCCACATACGATTACTAAACAAACAAACTTTGGACGCCGTGCCGTCCTAGGATCCCAAACACGCAACAAAAATTGCAAAAAGAAAAAAAAAAAAAAAAAAGAAAATTGATGCAAACGAACAAACGGTACTTATTTTCCCTAGGTTGTCCCCAGGGGCCAGAGGCCTCCCTAGACAAGCGTCCCGTTTGTTTCGAGAGGCGGGAACGTGCAGGCGGGCAAAGCGTGCCGAAGTGACCTCCGGGCCTCCATAGGCAAAAGTAAAAGGAAAAAAATAAAAACAGTTCAAAGGAGAACGCGCTGAAAGGAAGGGAAAGGCTGTATGTGGGTCAGCAGCTGCGTATCGCTGCTGCTCGTAGCACGGAACATGCGAGCCCGTCGTATAACGACACAGCTAGCCAGGAAGCCTGCGTGCCAACACAGAGGCGCTTCGCCCTCCTCCTAAATGCAGTCCTCACCTCCCACCCGTGCATTTCCTCCACACTCGAGAGACGCGTGCTCTTCTCTCCCGCACCGAAAACCCCCGAGAACAGTTCCCCCGCTTTATTCCGCCGTCTCTCGCTTCGGAGAGAGTCACACCGCTTACAGTAGTCACGCGCTCGCTCAGCGACGATGGCTACGCGTTTGGTGGCCGCGGCAAGTGCGCGGCGATGTGCCGGCGAGGAGATCTGTGTCGAAGAGGTGTACGCGTGAGTGGTTGGAGAATAGCGATGTGAAGGTAACTGCGGTGAGACGATCCTTCTTAATTCGATACTAGTCGCAGGTTAATTAAGAAAAGCAGGACAAGCCCTTCACTCTTTCCACTTTAGGAGAGCGAGCGCAGGAGAGGAGGCGATTGTCCCCTCGCCTTCTCACGCCTCTTCTCCCGTGTTCTCTCTACTAAGATGGAAAGAGTGTAAAGCTTTGCGGAAGCAACGTGTCCTGCTTTTCTTAACCCGCGACAGGGTATAGTTACGTATAAATAATAATAATATTAAAAGTAGTAATAAGAACAATGATAATAAACATGTTACGACAAAATAAGGTCTCCTGTTCGGCGTTTCACTGGAGTACTCCATCCACCTTAGTGCAGATTTGCGCGGACAACTCAAACCTTGAACCACTCGTTTAGCGATACAAATCACGGGTTACCTCCGTGGTGCACGTTTCCAGGACGCTTCGGGACATCTCATGATCACTTCGCCGCCAATGAGATTAGCCGATAAGGACGCCGAAAGAGCGAATCCCGAACATAAGTCATAGGCTACGTTTACATGGATGCGATCGTAGCGTATCGAATCGAGCAGGAACCAATCACACGCAGCCTGTCTTCTTACTTCTTCCTCTTCTACCCAACTGCTACCAATCAAAATCGTGAAATCTCGACTCGATGCGCTACGGTCGCATCCATGTAAACTCAGCCATAGTCTCCCTCCTCGCTTCCGTCGAGCTGGTGAACTGAAGCTAGGAGAAGAGACGCGATATGCCTTTTCTAAGCAGTGATAGAGTGCAGGCGAGCTGGTAATTAATCGACATCTTGTAGACCCCGAAATGGAAAACAATAAATAAAAAAAAAAAAATAAAAAACGGACGAGCACAACACAATTTCAATCAGATTTTGTTGTGTTCGTCCGTTTTTTTTTTTTTTTTATCGTTCCCCATCTCAGGGTCTACAAGATGGCGATATGCCGCTTCCCCTAATTCTCACCTGTTCCAGGACGATCGTGACGTCGCAGTCCCCGCTTGATCGTGCCCTTCTTTACCAAAAAATACTGTTATCCGTTTGAGATATCGATGTATCAGTGATGTTTTAGAGTTCGTAGCGTCCCCTTCAACGCTTCTGTGGCCTTATTTTTCAAAATACAAATTTCGGTTCTGTATCCCTTTAACTGCGGTGACGACGCACCCCTTCGTGCAACGTGGGACAAGATGACGCACACCCTCGGGTCAAAGTATTGCCACGACCGGCAAAAGCCGCCCGATGGACGGTCCCCCCGCGCGGCCGACAGGTGTGGAGAAACAAAAGAGCGCCTCGGGCGCCTCACCAATTGATGAAGGAGCTCTTGCCCGCAGAGTGGTTCCCGATGAGCAGCACGACGATCTTCTTCCGCGGTGGCAGCAGGTGCAGATCGAGAGACTCGGCGATCTTCACCAGGCCTGCGTCGGGGGGTAAACAACGAGGCTCCGCTTTTAGAACTGCGGCTCGGCGTTATGATTATTAGCCTCCCATTCGGTCGAGGCTTGCCGCCCCGACCGAATGGGAGGCCAATAAGCATAACGAAAACAAACAACCCGCGTCCCGAACCAAACCGAACAGCCAGGCTGCATGCTCGGACACCCTCCTTCCTGACAACCGTTACCGCAACGGAGTTATGAATGTGTGGCAGACAATAGCCTCTGTATTGTAACGTCCGAACAAAGGACGGAGGCGGTCGAAGTTGCTGGCAAGAGGACCGATAAGGAGCCTATCTGGAAGCCTCAGGCTGTCATTACGAGGCCTCCGGGGAATTACCTTCGAAGATGAGTTACACTTCAAACAAGTTGTGCAACAGGGTATGGTTCGCCGCCACGATGAACCACATGTAAGCTCACACATTTGCGAGTGAGGTCTCGAAAAAACGCGCTGGCACACCTGCGCCATTACCGATTTGCGTGTAGTCAAGGACGCAGGAGAGCGCGTGCTTGAGGGCCGAATAAAGCGGTACACTCGCGACTCCATCTCTTATCGGAAATGCAGAGGAAGTTGTTTTCGAGTATTCAGACCGAAGGCTTTATACTTGCGAGATCAAACATAGATGGTGGCACCAGTGGGTTCTCTTTAGTTCTCTCGCCATAAGGGGTCGCCAGCGACAGGAGTAACATTTTTATAACATTTAACGTGTCACTACTACCAAAGGGGTCCATATCACATGAGCGAATGACATTTTAGCGAACAGCGACATTTGAGCGAATCGCCGTTTTAGCGAATAACGGGGGCGCGCGTTAACCCATCCGCCGCGCTGCGCTTTACGCCGCTTTGCGGCGACAGTCTGCGGCGGCTCATTACAAAAATGTGAACCCATTTGGCCCACCCGCAAACGCCGCTTGGCGGCGTCCGACTATTCGCTAAAGTGCCATTCGGTGAAACGTGGGCGTTCGCTAAAACGTCATTCGACCAAGTGAGTGCCTCCCCTCCAGAATGTGCGAATCGGCCTACGGATTTCCAGGTGGCGGGTTCGAATCCCAGCAGGGCAGAGGTGCATGCCGGCAATATGACGCAGGTATATTGCGGAGAAGGCACCGCGTAAGCGCGGAGCTTCAGACTGCACGTCGAAAGATCCCCAGGTGGTCGAAATTAATCCTCAGCCCTCCGCTGGGGCGCGGGTTTGGCAGGTGAAATGCCCCAAAATTTGACTTTAAATATGTGAACTAGCCTTCGAAAAATCGAAAGAGCCCTCAAAGGCGCCACTAACACTGATTTACCACTCGCGGAAGTTTGTTTTAAGAGGAGAGGAAGTGTCCGCTTGAAGACCTATGTACCTGGGAAAAATGAGTATTATGTTTTATTAGAATAGCTCCAGAGACTCGTAGGGATGGGTGTACAGAAGTCGTAAACAGGACGAATATTAAAGAGTTCAACGGTCACATTGTCCAGCAAGTATACGAGCAGCATTACACTTAGTTAGTTTCTCTAATTCATCATCATCATCATCATCATTTATTAAAACCTTGAAGGCCATTGCTGGCATTACACAAGGTGGGTGTAACTGCTGAAGAAACATATAAAGGAACAAACAAAAAAGTGGGTTACATGCTGGAAAACATTGTTACATAAAGCAGCAAAAACAGAAGAAAAAAAAAACACTTAAAACATTTTTAGGGAAAAACAGCTGATGAAACAGAAAAATACCCAAATAAAACATTTCTATAAACACGAGTTGACTTTACTATTAGTGTAAATGCAGATGGATGGTCAGTTGGGATATGAAAGTATTATAATCTGTCTGGGTCACGATACTGTTAGGCAGGCTATTCCAGTCCGTTATTGTAAACTTGTAAATTTAATATTCGTCCGTAAACAGGACGAATATTAAAGAGTTCAACGGTCACATTGTCCAGCAAGTATACGAGCAGCATTACACTTAGTTTCTCTAATTGCACACTACAACCAAATACATTTTCTGATTTATATGCATATAAAGCAACAGTATATAATGCTCGATCAACGAGATGATAGGAACGCCTCTAGCAGATTCCGATCTTAGGCTTTAACGGTTAACACCAGTTATTCTCCCTTCGTTCATTCAGGATCGCATGGAAGTGGACGCGGTAGATTAAAGCGCTTCTCACAAGAAGCAGGGACGTAAGCAACAACGCGTATTTGCCTCGCCAATTCGACAGAACTGCTCCTCGTTGGCACGCTCCAGTTGCGTTCTCGGACCCATTTTCCTGCAGGTAAGCGGGGCTTAATGCGCACAATGTGCAAGGTCAGTTTATTGACCGTAAACGACTCGGATCGTCCTTGCCTTTCCCCGCAATAAGTTGTGTTCCCAGGCTAAAGATGCCGTAGAAATTAATAAAAATAAAAACCCTTTCAAAAAAGGAAAGTGAGAGAGAGAGAGAGCGCGATTTTGTCAGACTTTAAAGGGGCACTGACACCCCAAAGGTCGTATTTATTTTTATTGTCTAAAACGATGCAAGTTGCAGTCATAGACACGCAAAAAAAACCGCATCGCGAAAAAAAATTTTCCCGCGCGCGCGCGCGCCTTTTTATTTTTGGCGTTTGATTTTCCCGCCCTCGCCTCCTCGCTTCTTTTGATCGGTGACGTCAAAAATCAGGAAATTTAGAAGCTTTGTAGGCGACATCTCTATAACATTTAATTACGGCAATCCTAAAACATGTTTTTTAACGCAATTGCGAACGCACTACGGCCCTTCTTTTTGAAATACCAAAAATCGGGAGTTCGTTGTGGTGCCGTCTCCTGGATTTCTATCCTCCAACGGAAAACAGGCGACACCGCTCAAAACCGGTCCGCCGCAACGCCGCTGCGCACTCCTTTCCTCCTCGCTTTGGGTCGCCATGGCAACAGCAGCGGGTGGTGAAAGAAAGTCGACTCTCAGGTCTCCGCAATTTTTGACGTCAAGGGACCGGCGCCGACCGCGCGGGAACTTCGAATTCGGCATTTGGAAATTGTTTTTTTACTTCACAAATACTGAATTCCCAAATTTCAAATTTTGAGGGTAATGTCCCGGCATCGTTTTCAATCGTTTCGGATAATAAAAAAAATTATGATTTTGATGTGTCAGTGCCCCTTTAAAGGACAAAGCCGAATGCCGACTTCAGAGCCAGGCGAGAACAAATCCGGCCGAATGAAACTTTATGGCAGTCCGGTCAAAGAAAACAGCAACGGTTGAAGATAAACACGCAGCATAAACACGGAGGAAGAATCGGGTGGCTAAGATACATTCCCCCTCCTACGAAACAATCACGTCAAAAGTGTTCCTGGCGAAACCAAGAATCACGCAAAAAGTAATCTGAGAGACCATATATAGCCCGGGGGTCGCCAAACTACGGCTCTTCGAGGGTTCAATGCGGCTCGCGGCTACCTGGCAAGCGTGCCGCCCATCCCCTCCTGTGCCCCAACCAAAAAAGTTCTAGAAAAAACAAAAAAAAAAAAAAAAAATAAAAAAAGCACAGTCTTGGCAGTCTTGTCCTACACTACTAATATAACAGCTGGACTGCTTTTTGACACATAGATGTGTCCAGTGACCCCGTTTCCTTTATTGTGCTAGAAATAACGGGCGTCAGGGGCGGTGGCTGGCCAGCGAACCCAGAGCCATAGAGCGAACCATGCATTCAGTTTTTGCTTAGCTGTTAAAGAAACGTTCTCTTGCCTGGTCTTCTTTGTTGTGGTCAACAACTATACTTGCACCATTTGGAAAAGACTGTTCCCTCCACATCGTTTCTAGTTAACCCCCCCCCCCCCCCCCCCCCCCCCCCCCCCCCCACTCCCGGGCCTTTTCTTTTCTTTCCGTGCGGCTTTCTGAATTTTTATAGCCCCTGATATAATCACTGACAGCGCGGGAGAACGACAAGGATCAGTTTTCTAGCCAACCTCGAGTGTGCACGCGTAGCCAAAGCACGGAGGGGGCAGCAATACCACTCAAAAGACAAGGCCTGAGAATTACGTCATCACCAGCGGATCCCCCGACCCGGCCCCAAACGGCAAACACGCTGAAACTCAACACGAGAGCTCGGCGTCGCCGCGTGCCAACGTCCCGCTCGTTGTCGGACGCTGCGAGAAGCGCCGGTAGCGATGCCGACGCTATGCGCAGCGCCAGTTCGTCTGCTTCTTTTGCGGGAGCTGCGGTGACGTCAGAAGGATGCTGAGCTCCGACTGAAGGATAGTGGGTAGACCTCAAAGCAAGAGGCCTTCGGGGCTACCCCCTATCCTTCAATCATAGACAATAAGAGCCCGGCATCCTGACGTCACCACAACCCCTGCAAACGAAGCAGACGAACTGGCGGTCTGGCTACACTGGTGGTGAAGGAGACGCGCCCCGCCGTTCTGTCTGTGACCGCGTACATCCAAACGCAGCTCCTCAGATGAAACGGTGCGCGTGAAGTTGTACTGGGTCGTTATACAAGCGCGTTCGCAAAAGCTTTGCGAACGCGGATCCACTTCCAGTGTGAATGAGCGGTTACAGGGGCCCAGTGTATCTGCAATGCCCGTGCTTGCTTCGCGCGCACACATCGTGCCGCAAGTGTCGTGGTGTACACAATATTGCCCCACGTTCGGTCGGGTCGCCTGTATACGCCTGCCTGCGGAGTGCAGCGGCAGATGCAAAAGTATGCGACTGGCGAGGGCCCGGAGAAACTTGTTCCCCAACGAAAATAACCGTACCAGATCTGACGTGCATCTCGACGCCCGAAACGTTTCCTTTACTCTTCGAAATTATGGATGGCCAGTGTCGCGCATCAGGGCGCACCCTTTTGCTCCGAGCTTCTACCCGAGGTTTTCGAAACAACAAGAGGCCACACAGCCTAATGTAAAATAATGAATGTCATGGGAACAGTGACTTCTTTAAATCTAAAAAAACACAACAAAACCCGATCTAAGTAAAACTAAAGGGGAAAAAAGAAAAGAAAAGAAAGATTTAATTATTGAATGTGCACA